ATTTGAGGGATTACAGGATGTGAAAGTAGATCTTGTCATTTGAAGTTTTTTTTTTAATTTAAATCTAAAATCAGAGTAGATCCTGAGCTTCAACCTGAAATAATGTTATGTCCTGTTTCTGTGAGTACCAGAAATTTTACCTTGATGCTTCTATGCTCATTAGAAAATAGGGAGCTTAGTATGCGTATGCTGGCCAAATTCCAGCTGGGATGGCTCTGTTTTCTCCCCTGGGATCATTCTGGACTATTAAATTAAAACAAGATTCCTCATTTCTTGACCTCCAACATGTCATTACTGTGAACTCGGAAGTGGAAGACGTTAAAAACAGCTGGTGGAAGTGAAAATTCAATTGCTCTGCTGTCCTCCTAGTGATACATTGGAAGCAAAAATGGCACAAGATGCAAGTCAGCAGGCAAAACAGCTCAATTTGTGTAGTTACATTTTCTGGAGAGTTATGAAGTGCCTGTATTTTGAAAAAGCAGTGACACAAACCTGGACCTTCTCTGGGCTCTGATTAAGTTTTTGTTGATAGATAATGCATAGCCTAACTTGAATGGATACTTGCTGGATTTTATTCAGATTTATTTCTCTTGTTCACACTTACAGTACTRTGATAGTGCCTGAGTCAGTCCTTTCTTTCTGAATTCCTTCAAATTTGGTAAATTTGGTAAACTCTCTAATTCTGAGCTACAGCCTGCTCTGGAGCTGTCTTAGATGAACCCAGAAGTTAAAGACTTGATCTACAATACTTTAACTATCCCTCCAACTACTTAGAAATATAAAGTATTGCATGTTTCAAGATGCCATCTGACAGACTTTATGTTTTTAAACTGCTTTTGTGTTTTCCTCCTGTGCTTCACATGAAGTGCTCTAAACTAGTGCTAGTTTTAGTGCAATAAAACTTCCCATGCAGTACACTGCATAATGCACCAAGTGCAATGGATTTTCGGCCTCATTTTTTTCCATGTTTGCCAGTCCTGATTTTAAGTGAGCTTTTTTTATGGATARTTGTATTTCTCATTTCAAAGATTTTCTTCTTTCTGATCTGAGGATAACAGTAATTTATTTCTACTGTCCTTTTTGTCCCATACAAACTACCAGAGTCAAAATTCCTTGTTTGTTTGAGAGAGAAGGTTTTAACATTTGAAAAGGTCCTTGCGGCTTGTAAATCTTGCACYCATTTCAAGTACAAACTTAGGAGAAAGATTTTCTCAACACTGTGAAAATTGCATTGGTCACCTTGTCAAAAGCTGAAGATGATATTTGCTGCTTTTATTTAAACCACTTTTCCTTCCTTACTGTAAACTTTCCTCCTTTCTAATTCACTGCATTGTGTTCTAGATGTTTTTATATATTTCTTTCTTATCTGTTCTTATGTATTTCCGTGTGTAGTATTTCTTTAAGACCAAGTTCTGTTACAGCTTGACTTACTTACAACATTATTTGTTTTATCCATTTGACTCTATGCTCAAATTTATTGGAGAAATTGATTTCTAAAATACAATTAACTTTAGATAAGGAGTRTTCTGTATCGAGCCCATAATTTCCTGTAAATACTATTTGCTGTAGGTTATCTTTAAGTTTTTTTGGGGGGGCATTTGGTGTAATTTCATTATTTTTGCGGATAAAGTACATTCATGTTTGCATTTATTATATTGTATAAGTTTTCTTATGGCTTATAGAAGTCTCTGAGGGCAAACACAAAATAGAAAAGACTTGTCAGGTTTTGGTATTGTAGAACACTGTGCAGATGTGATGAACACTGGTACAGGTGTCCTGATGGATTCATGTTTTACCTGGGCTTAATTTATGACTGGGACAGCACAGAATTCTTGCAAATGACTTAAAAAAAAATGCTTGAAGTGATGTTTAATAATGCACTGTAATAATATCACAAAAAATTGTAGCAATTCTCAAGTTCAGTCACAAAATCTCCCCCATTTACCCCTAATTTCCAGCCCATATTTAGGTAGGATTAGTTCGTATCTATTGATTCTTTTGTCAATGCTATCTTTTGGTTCAAATAGCTCCCTTTCATCCCTATCATTTGCCCGTGGTGTTTGGGCAGAGCAGCACTTGAGTCTTTCTGGCTTTTGTTTCAGTAGACTGKGTCAGATAAGCAATTTTTGTACCCCTTCATCTATAAGATCCCAATTTTTGTCTTGGGTTTTAAACCTTGCTCTTGACCATCAGATTTAGTTCCATTTCTGGTCATTTCAGTCCACAAATTGATTCATTTCTTCCCATGCAATAATCCAATCCCCTCTGCTTTTGGCAGCCATCAGAGTCCTTGCGCTGACTCCAGAAAAATTAGATCACTCCATGGGACAGTATTTGAGGAATCCAGTAGTGACATAAGAACTGTCTACAGAGTTAAACCCAAAGTCTTTCCACATATACTAGCCCTCATCTCACTAATTTTCCTTCTGATGTAATTAATTTTTTCCTCTTTAATTATTTCACATACCTTCTACCTTGGCAGCATATTCTTCCATCTCTGATTTTTCAAGTAGATTTGATGGTTTTGTTTTAATTTGGTAAAAAACTGTTGGATTTTTTTGTAACAGTTAATATCTTCTGTTTTCCACTTCCATATCTATATTTGTTTCCGTTGAAATTTGTTTTAAATTTGTGCACGCTAGTTAAAGTTGGATTAGTAGATCTGTAGTGGTTTTGTGTCACCTTTTACTTCTTTCTCAGTAGCAAGCACTAGTCTCTATGCATATCCTGCTGCCCCTGTATTCAGGGATTTAGCAAAAATTCCTTTTAATGCATTTATGAATAATTTTGTGCAAGTGAGGATGATCCTGAAAAAATATAGCTAGAGAGAATTAGTTTTGCTAGCAGGATACCAGGGGCCTTCCCTGTTTCCCCAACCCTATTCCCTCTTAAAAAGTCTGCACAGCTTCCAATAATTATATTTTGCAAATGGACTTGCCTAATCCCTGCTACAAATGAGCTAAAGAGTATGGGCTAAAAAGTGCAGGGAAGGAGGGGCAGGAATTTATAGCCAGATTAGGGCTGTGGTATTTCCTTTCTTGGCAAGATGGTCCTAGATTAAACACTCATATATTTGCAATAATTTAACATAATTGCAGCTTTACAGCTAGTGCTGAAACCTTGAAAACAGACATGTGTAAGCACTGCTTTAGAAAGCAGATGATTCACTATTCCAGGACCCATTCTGTATCTTATGACTTTGACTCAGCTTTTTTGGGGCTGTGTGACATCTCTGCATGATTTGTGGGACAACACGGTCATGGTTAGTGTCCCAATCAACACCAAATTTTAGCAAATTTCTTCAGACCTGATCCTTGCTGAACATAAATTGCTGCCTCTTGCTTCGCTACCGGAATATGGTGCAAGGTGGATGATTCCTCGAAAAATTAAGTATGAAAAGTGCCTTTTATATCAACAGAAACTTATGTGTCTTTAAAGAGTCAGCTTGATTTTAGCATCTCTTTTTCAGTTGTTAGAACTTGGTTAAATTTGTAGTTGTGCAGTAAGTGAGAATTTTGTTTCATGAAGTGTTCATTTCAAATGTGCATTTTATCCAGTCACAAAGGTTAATATCCACATCTGATGTGTGAGAATTTAGTAAAGCTAACAGGTTCAAGTTTAACTTCGTATGTTCTGAAATAATCATRTTTCTCTTTGAACTTGAACTTCTTGTAAACCTACAAAGCAGGAGCTTCTTTTCACATGCACCTGCACCCGGTGCCAAATTATTTTGGGGTTRTATGACCACAGTTTGATTTTCATTTTTCTTTGGGTAATCATGTTGGAGCATTTTGCCTCAAATGTTGTGCTTGTCACTGGAAATTCTGAGTTTAAATTTCAATGTTATATCTGTTTTTAACTGATGGAGTGTGAAAGTGTGCAGTGTAATTTATGCCTTTTTTTATACTTCTGCTCTTTTRGCCAAATTGCATGTCATTTGGTTCATATTGCACAAGCCTTATTCTCAAAATTAAGATTTGTGGTTAGGCAGAAAAGCTGAATTTGCATTCCTTCTGGTGAGAAATGTATCCATTTCCTTTCACTTCACTTTTACTTCTCAGTGTTTCGTTGTGTTTTTTGTATAGGTCATTAGCACTAATGCTCAGAAAGCCTGAAAATGCATCTAAATAAGACAGAGAGAGTAGGCTTAAGAAGAAAGAGGAGAAAAAAGAAAGAAAAAAATTGTTCATCTTCTTGTTTGCTGGAAGAATCCTCGGAAACGTAGATTGTTCTTGCTTTCTCTGAGCTCTTCAACACATATATAGGGTATTTTTTATGCAGTGCTACAGCTTCTGCAGGAGGGATGGAGACCAACTTCATCTTGCTGATGTTTAGGCTCTTGATAAGCCTTGGCAGGTGCCCGTCTTGATGKTTGCTTATCATGCTGAGCAGTAGTGGCTTTAATGTTATGCTCTTCCTTATCTTATTGCAGTCCTTGGACATATATCATAATCTGTGATATAGCATCAGGCTTATTTTGGTCTTACGTATGCCGGGAGTAGTGCATTAATAATAAAGACTGAACTTGTTTCGTTTGGGAATGAGTCCATAAAGTGTCCGTAAAGTATCTGAGAGGAGAGGACAGTTCCAAGACCTTTAAAAGTAGCTTTAAAATAAAACTAAATAATTTAAAAAGCCCTTCTAAAATACCCAACTTGAAATATATAGGACCTAAATCTTAAAGAATTGATTTTAATTTGTGAGCTCTGTAATCAACATATTCTACCTCCTGCCAAGAAAGTAAATGCCAGCCAAATTACCATTTTATTCTTCCCTAAATGTGAAAAATAACAGGTAAGTTATGTACTATATTGTTAGCCCTCAAATAAAATTACCCAAATTGTAGCAAAATTTAACTTCATATCATCTGTCAGAGTAAGTTTTTGAAGGGTATATCTTTCTATGAAAATGGTTCAATCTCCTTTTATTAAGAGAATGCAGCTTTGTTTATTTATGGAGAACCCAATACTAAATCTCTGTTTTTTGTTTCTGTCCTACAGGGAACACAGTGAGTAACCTGATTTTCATTCTACCTCCAATCTATGGTGCGATTCAGACCTATAAAGATGGCCTTGAAAAACGGTATTTAGCTGCATATTTGTGTCTCACAGGTACGTATAAAACTGAATTTGCTCTTTAATTATAAAAGGAGCTCAGATGAATAATAATAATAAAAATATCCAAACATTAASCAAATAATACAAGCCAAATATTGTGTGTGCAGAATATTTGTTTATAGTTCTTAATGTTTTCAGAAAATTGCTATTTCAAGGAAGGATGTCAAGTTAGTGCACAAAATAACTTTGAGGTTGGAAAGTGTCCCATCCTTGGCCTTGCATCCTGCTCAGTGCACCTTTCCTCACTGGGTACCTCAATGATACCTTGTGTATTCTAGTTCTCTACAGTTAACACTGTATTAGTGTTCCTAATTTGATACAATTATATGGAATAACACAATAAATGGTCAAGATCTTGAAGGAATTGAGTGGGCGATCTTTATTTAGTTTTAATTTGATCTCCATCCTCTTAGCCATATTTCAGCCAGCAGCCTAACTGCCATCCTTTGGGAAATTCAGCAAAGATGGAGGACCAATGTGATATGGATACATGAGTTCATTTCTAGGGAGTTCAGCCTTCTATAATAGCAAAATATCAAAAAGGAACTTCCTTTGAACCTTTAATTGATGTTCTGTGCAACTAGAAAGCATATTTGTTATCCTTCCAAGAAAAAGGAGATGTTTTGTGATGGCTGGGGTTTAGCAGCTGGGTCTGTAGAAGTGAATTTCTGTTTGCTCTAGCTGTTATCTCTAGGAAGATACCTTCTTCTTTCTCCCTCAGTTTATTAGAAATGTTACTTTTAAGACTAGTATGCTTAAATATTTAGGCAAACCTCAGTAAAAAGCAGGTATCTTTATGCTAGAAGTATTCTTGATGCCAGTTAAGCTTTAACAACACCTGGCAGCGGTATATAACCATGGGGTTTGTGTGAATGCTTTCTAAATAGCTCTTTGTAGTCTTTTCTATACTTTTGAGTAACTATATATTTTGGTCTCTGTATAAAATTGAGTTCTGTAGAAGGAATTCTTGAGGAGTTAGCATTTCCTTTCTCTAAGATAGGCTCTTTTTCCTGGCAAAGAAGCAGTGTTTAAGCCCTTGCTGAAGTGAACTCTGCTCGTTCTTGAATCAAAGAATCTCACACTGTCCATTGCTTTAAACTAAATAAATATAAAAATTCTGTAGAGGAGAATTGCTCTCTCCACACTGACTTGTGCCATCTTTGGCAGTGACACTTCACAGAGGACAAAGCACGTCCTAGTCTGATCAGAGCCTCAAACCAGGAGTGCCAGAGGGACTTCCAGATCTGAATTGGAATTTGTCCTATATGTCATTTAATATGAATATTTTGAAGTCCATCTTCAATGGCAATGGACAAGAGCTTCCGCTTTTGTGTTGCACTTGGCATTTCTGAAGAGGAGCCTGGTCTGCATATTTGACAGCAGTGCTGGAGGGCAGTCCTGAGCTCCAGCTGGGCTCCTTCTACTCATCTGTGGCTAGAAACGAGCCTTTGACTCCTGTCTGAAGTGATAAATGCTCGCATGGCTTGACTTCAATATCCTCTGCTGGAGCTGAACATGAAAGGTCACACCCCAAAATGTTTCTCTTATCTCTGCTTCAGAAATCATAACACTAGGCTGGCTTTTCAGCAGCTTTTGGAGCAGTTTAAAGATGTAAAGGAATATAGAAACTTTCAGACTTTGTCAGTGAAAAGCAGGAATAGGATGGTTGGGAACCACAAACTTCCTGTGTTTGGTCTACTACAGAATAAAACAGCAAGTGAGAAGATAAAAAGGATTTTTAAAAATAGTCAAAATGTGCCAGGAAACCTGACAATTTTTCTGTGTTTATAGCAGAATGAGAAATGTACTTAAATATAAATAGAGTAAGCATATAGAAATGTCTTTTGGTAAGAAAGTGCCAGAAAAAAACTCTTTTCATTACAATGGTTTTTCTTATTAACAGATTTCACTGTCCGCAATTACTTTGTAATGAACAAGTGTACACTTAATCCATAAAAGAAATGATTAATTTAAAACAAAATTATTTGTTTTACTTCAGGTACCASCCTTCATTAAGGAACATATAGAAGGTCTTATAACTGGTTAGTAACCCTTTATGGGTTGCTTTGGTAAAGTAGAAATTCTTGGGTTGCTTGGAAATTGAGAGGGGACAAGACATGAATTTTATTTTTATATCAACAAATTCAGTTTGTTGCTGAGATTTTTAGCAGAAGTTAAAGTCAGCTGTCAAAAATGACATGAAAATCTGTTAGCACTTAAGAACATAAGAAGTGTTTTTTTGACGTTATTTTGATCCAAATCAGCTGTTTCTTTTGGGTGCTTCCAAATATTGAGCTGATTGTCAGTTGCTTTGTGTTTTACCATGCTATGTTCAATGCTTTGCTTTATACCCCAACATTTCTGTTGTTGGCATGTATTTCCTCTTTGAATCAAATGCAYTTTGAATTAGGAGAGCACTGCTCATTTCACATACATGCTAAGATCTGAACTTGGCGGGAGAAGAAGGGGGGTTTCTAAAAAGCATTTAAATAAATTCCTCATTCGTAGTGGTGCCAAGACTGTTTTGCTTGCGTTTTCTGCAAGTTCCTTGAGATACAACACACTATTCTGAGACCTCATTTCTGCTATGTTTTAGCTCAAAGAACATATTGTTAATAGAACTCAATAGGAACTGAGTAAGATTTTTAAGCCGTACTTATTTAAAGTTATCTAAAATAGCTGAGTTATCTGAAATAATCAGCCTAAAAATATTAAAAATATGCCTAAGAAATTACTTTCACAACACTTTGCAGCTGGTAAACTAGGTGAAACACATCAGATCTCTAAGACTAGACAGCTGTTTTTTGGATAATTCCATGTAATGCTTTCCTATATTATCATCTTTCTCATGCTCTGAGGATGCTTGACCCCTAGAAGGATCCTGATTATAAAATATATTCAGCCAAGTGTTGAATCAAATACTGAAACAAATTAAGTATTGAATGAAGAATCGAAATATATTGAATGAAGTATCTGTTTTGGACCTAAGGAAAAAGGGAGTAGGAGTCAAACTTGCTGGTGCTTTTCTTGAAATCTGGAGATTTTCCGGACCCTTAGTATTTGTCTTTGGCCTGATTAGTAAAATTCTAGGGCTCAGTCATTCAAGCTGTGCCAAAGTGGAGGGGAAAAAGAAGGAGGAAAGAATGTTCCTACTTCAGACATTGCCATAAGAACTTGTACAAACACCTTCCTAAATATCATTTCCGGTGAATCTCTGTATCTATGAAAATAGTTGTTCAATGCCCTACAGCCAAAATTAATTCCTTTATTGTTAGCTAWCAGCCCAAGAGAAGACATGCAAAGCAGTAAATCAGATGTGCTCAGGAATGTTCCTGGGTGCTGAAACCAGACAATGTGGAAGGGCTTATGTCTGTGTTAGTCTTAACAAGGTGACCACATACAGATGCCTTCCTAAGCACAGTCCCTGGGCTCTTCTGATTGCCAACCTGTGCCTGGGAGCTGCTTGGGAAAGTGCTAGTCTGAACAGGCCAAGTTCATGCCATAGTCTGTTCTAACAACTTATTAACCCAGGCAGATGCATTATAATGTCTGGGAAGATTCCCAGCCTTATTTGCCTTTACCTATAGAGGTGTATCCTTGGAGTAACCAACATCATTCATGTTCCATAGGTCTTGGGGAGAAATTCCTGTTCATTTTACAACTACTTTGTCGTCTCATCTCGCATTACCATCTGTGACCATTTACAATGGAACATGCTCTTTTTTTGTTGATATTTTACTTATCTTTAGACTAATCTTATTTTAGTAAGCCATACGTGGGATTCATCTCCAGATTCAAACACCTAAATGTATATTTTCTGTGCAGGAGGCATTTGTTTCTTGTTGCAGTCAGTGTAATTCAGRGAATCATTTAGCTTATCCAAAATAACTCCTGGTCCTTGGCCAGCTGAATCACTCATAAAATGCCATTCATTTTAGTGGGAGATTTGACACATACTTTATATTTAAATAGGTATAGGAGTGAATCCTATTCATTCCTTCAAAGTATTTCAATACAGAAATTGCATAGCTTAAATTCGAATGATGTTTATGGAATCCTAATAAAACACGTTTTTATCAAAACAAAATATGCTTGTGATAATCTTGAAGGCTCTTGGATAGTCTTATATCAAAATAAGCTGTTAACTGCGTATATGAAATGAGACTTTCCAGACCTAAGTGCTTTTCACATAGTACTGCATAGAAACAGTGTGACTCAAAGCATAATAAATGTTTAGCACATTTTTTTGTTTGTTTGTTTTGCATTTCCCCTGTAACTTGGGAGTTTTTTTTAATGTGAAAAGCTGAGTGAACTTCTAATATCAGTTTGACATGGAAAAACTTGAGTTGTAATAATTAAAGAGGAAGTGTTATTGGTTCAGAGGCAGTCAAAACTCCTCRACTGATACGTAGTCATCAGTCAAGTTGAAGCTTCTTTGTGGAAGGAAACATTAAAAAGGAAAGCAGTAACCTCTGCTTACAAGATAAGGAGCAAATCTGCTTCTCTCTTTGTCATGGGAAAGTTACTTCTATTGAAAATTGCTGTTTTCCTTGTGATCAAGTTTGTTTATCATAAAGATACAGAAATCGCTACAACAGCCGTGATAATGGATGATACTGTTTTAATGATGATCGTAATGCTTCTTTTTGCTTCTTTTTTCTTCAGAATGAGTAGTAGTGGCAATCTATGCTGCATTCACAGGAAAATGACTGAGAATATCTTAATGAAGGCTAAAATGGTTGTTGATCATTGTGTGAAAGGATTTTTCAGAAAAATGCCTTGCAAGTGATGGAAGTCCATGTGGTTACTACATGTTTTTAGACAGCCATGCCTAGCTTGCTGTMATCATTGATTATACTCAAGTATTTGGAAATGCATTTTTAAATCTAGCTATTTTGCAGTTCTGTGTGTCTGTAGATAGTGATGGGTTTATGTACTTAATGAAGAGAAGTACCTGTACTAATCCCAATTTTAGTGTAACAGCATCTCAAGAAACATCTCCAGACATGTCTATGAACTGTCTTAGGAAGCAAAATGCACCATTTGTTAGTGTTCTATTTATGCATCAGCAAAGTGTAGCTGTTGTGTTCAGAAAAGAAGGCTTTGCTATTGCAGCAAAGCAATACGCAGTGATTGATGATTGAATGCAGAATACTTTGTTCTCCCTGAAACTGGGGGCCAATGTATAGCATAATTTCCTGGAGGAACAGAAGACAGGATAATGTTCTTACTCTTGCAAAAAAGTAAAAATGTGCTGATGCCTTAACATATTTTATTTATAAAGTAAAAATGATGTATTAAATAACTTGCTGTCTTTGCTCTAAGTGAAATCTAAATTCTAAGAAATATTGTATTTGTGTAGCAGAGGAAAATCTAAGATAAGTATATGTGTTTTGAATTTGCTTTTGAGATTATGCGTTTGAAAGTAATGCTTGGAATAAACAAAATGCAGCACATGAATGACTTTCCAAGAAGAAAGCTCAGAAAGGRGGATCTCATTGCACAAAAAAGAACCATACTTCATTAATTTTGTTTGTTTACTCTGAATTTGAGACTCTGAATTGTAATAGCAATTCAGTTTTCTGCTTCTATAGCCAAAATAGTACTTCTTGCAAAACTAAAAGTACCTAAAACTATCACAGACTTTTTGTATTGCTAGCAGCAGGATGATGCTTTCATTTTGGAAAGATTTTGACAAATAGTAATGCAGTAGAATAATAATACTRCATTAATTGTGGAGTTTCTCTTCACTTGTACTGCCCCAAAATTTTGTTTTTAGTAAAGTCTGCCTATTTAAGTTAGTATACTTCAAAGAGATTTTTTAAAGGCCTTAAGTGCTAACCATGTTTTGGTTTGGTTTCAGCTGTGGGATTGGGATCTTGGTGCTTCCACATGACCCTGAAGTATGAAATGCAGGTCAGTATTCATAAGTAGCTGTGAATCATTTYAGATGTGGATCTCACTAGATAGTCCTAATTTCTTTTTTGCGTGAAACTCGTTTAGCACAAGTTAATCTAGCTTAAATATAATTGTCTGTTAGTCCTATTCTCAGCACATATGGATCTTGTTTCATTAGATGTTTTCACTRGTTTGTATAAGTATATATTCCTATATATCTGAAACAGATGCTGTAATTAATTGTTTGCTTTGGTAGAAAATACTTTATCCTTTAAGGAATCRGGCCATCTTTTTACTGGGGATGCTACTATAAAATTCCTATAGCTTTTGCTTAATAGCAAGCAATATAGATTATTGTTTTGAATTGTGTTTGCATTGCACTTGTTTTATTTTAATGTATTCTTATTATTGCTCTGGATGTACCTGTCTATAGAAAGCAGGAGATGAGTCCTTCTTTCTGTCTCTTCTTTTATTTTCAGGTCCCAGTATTTTCACTTTGCTAAAGGGAAGTCTTGTACTATTTTAGATTCGAGAGGACTAATAAAATTTGATCCTTGGTTCAAAGTTAGGGAGGATTAGTTCAGGTTAAGAGAACCACATCTAAAAGCATGTGCTAAAATTCTGTGCTCCCGTTATAGTCAAGGGAATTGCAATTAATGCAGCTGGAATTTAGCAAGCTGTTTGTGCCATGGCCATTGATTTGAATGCTGACWATAATGGGACCTGAAACACTTCATACATACCTAAATGCCAAAAATTAAATGTCTTACACTTAAACTGAGCTAAAATACTTAGTGATTTTTATCTTTATAATACTGTACTTCATGCCTCTGGTGTGTATTGGAGACTGTCAGCCTCAGAGGAGCATGTTGTTGCCACCATATAAGAATATCTGGTGATTTTTGGCATGAAAAAGGTTTCTAGACCCATTCCTCCACTCAACAAAGTAAAACTTCTTGCAGTTTATCTGTAATCTCTGAAACGGCCTCAAATTTTCACCTTTTTACCTCTATTCCCTCAGTTCTCCATTAATCCAGCCACTATTCACATCATCTTTCCCACCCTTATGCCACCCTGTATCCCAGGTCACTAAAAAGATCCAGGCTTAAAACATCCTAAGGGGTCTTTTTATGAGAGAAGGCTTTTTTAACACATATAACTACTGCTTATGGCATTATGGAGCCTGTGAACTATGGTATAAGAAGGGTGGACAGAAGCAGATGAAGAAGAAAGCGAATTTCTTCAATCATCTTTCCCCTTAGAATTAAAAGGCTTGGTGTGAGACAGGATATATTTGTTATTTTGGCAGCTTAGCTAAATCTGCAAGTGGTCCTTAATTACCCTGCCTGCTAACTGATGAATGATCAGAGACGATGCATTTCAACCAGTAAATAACCTTGTCTTGTTCACTTTATTTCTTAGTATGATTGAAAGTCAKCATTTTTACTTGTTTGAAGAGAACTTTTTTCTGAGCTTTGTTTTACCATCTTAATATTGTAAATATATTTTTTTTTCTGAAGCCATCTCCCCTATTCTCTTTACTCTCTTGGATTTTTTATTTTGTTTGTAGGAAAACTGTGATAGATTGTGACTTGAAAAACAATGGAAAAATGCTAAATCAGCTTACCACATTTCCTTCTCTCCACATTTCTGCTGTGCTCAAACATCCTGTTAACAGAATTTCTTTAAGGATGAATTCCTTCTGATGAAAGAGCCATTCTCTTAAGGATCTTTTGAGAGGCTCTTTGCTATTACCTTCATGTCCCTGAAAAGCTGCCAGCAAATGAACTTAARAGTGTAACCAACCATCAAAGTTTGAAAATATTTGCTATATTTCTCTTTTTTTTCTCCTGGGTTTCTTATTTGGAGGTACTGAGGCACACTTTGAAGTAAAGAGTGGCATGAATTAATCCTTCAGTTAATTCAGATCAAACTAGATGAGAACAGTGTTCAATTTCTAAATAATATCTATTAGGATATAGCTAAATTCAACTGTGGCTTCTGTTGTCTTTCTCTGTAAGGCTGTGGACTAGCAAAGAAATAGAAAAAGACTCAAATGGGCTGGTGAGTTTGTTAAATACCTTTCACCGGGAGTAGGAAAGGATTTTCTATACACACAACTTAAAAAGTGGTAGGGGACAAACACCAAAATGAGATTGCACCCAGTTCTTCTCCAATTTTTCTTGTTTATTGGGAAAACTTAAATCCTGCTGGCAGAGTAAGGTTCTAAAGTGTGTAATACTGATGCTTGACATACTGGAAATTAGAAGCAGTGAACCTTAACTGATCTAGTTGCATACTTTTGCCTTTTCGTGATTTTCAACCCTGTTTCAAAAGGAAATCAGCTAACTATAGGTTTATATTAWAGGTTCATAGTTTATTAATGTTCTTTGTTGAGCAAAGCTTTAGAAAAAAAAGTGATGCTATGATGTAGTCATTAAATGTATATGTATGATGAAGTTGAGTGTATGTTTAGCTATTCTTGAGCCATCACCTTTCTTGTGTTTACTGTAGTCCACCAAAATTAGTTTATAGAGTCCCTTGAGAGGTTCCTGTTTTAGCTGTGACATACCAGTGTTTTCCTACAAATGGCATAAAAATAACTGAAGGCAACAAAACTATGTTATTTGGCGGTCGTAGTATGAAAAGAAAAAAGTCKTGTGAGTTAAAAATGTAATAAATTTTCAAAATTGGAAAATAAACAGATGCACAGCCATCACAGAGCACTTTTTAGCACAGTAAAGTTATATTTTATGCTATGGATAAAAAATCCTGTTACAGATCCTCTGGTGAGGCTTGCATAGAAATGCTGAAATATCTTGACTATTTTGAGGAGGTTATAAATGGTCCRGTCGTGTTTGATAAGGCTTTAAAAATGTTTTATAAATGTAAAGAGGTAAGAACATTGAAAATGGCATGATTCTTTTCATAYGTGAGTTTCTTATAAAATACAGTATTCAAAGGTTCATTATAATAAGCTCACTAAGGCAGCTGCTAATTTCAGTGTCTGAATACAATTTGATGTGTATCCAGGAACAGTAGATATCCAGATGACTTAAAAACTCTTGTTTTCTTAAAAAGTGCCTCTCCTTAATTAACTTACCCAAGCATCTTACCCGTGGAAAGCAGTTTTCATGTTTCGCTGTCTCTGCTTTTTGTAGCTGTTGGATGAACTGCCAATGATATACAGTTGTTGTGTGTTTGTCTACTGCCTGTAAGTATTTGTTAAATGTTTTTTTTTTCATCCTGAATACTTTTGAAAYGGTAATATTTGTGACACAGGATATGCAAAGCCCAGTCTAGTGCTCAGTGAAGCTGACATTGTGAAACTTCTCCTGTTTTTAATGAGATGTCAATTTTGCCAGCAGTAAAGAACTGTGATTTAGCCATTAGAGCACCAGTCTGGGTTTAGTCCTAGCTCTTAACTAATTTAGAGTTCTCATCCCAGTGTTTGCTTAGCAAGAAAAAAACTGACTCTTGTTAAAGACTTAGTGCTGTACACAACCAAAGTGTTTAGACAGCAGACCTAATAAAATGAACTGCAGTAACACCTACTAAATTACCAGCATTGTGACTTATCAGAGCTGTTGTTCTATGATAGACTCTGCCTCCAAATGTGAATCTCAGATGCCTGGTTAAACCAGCTTTCTCCTCATCTCTAAAATTAAAAGTGAAGCCAAACAAACCACGAAAAAATTGAGAGCTGAATATATATGTTGCAGAGGGTATCCTGAAGCATTCATTATAGTTGTGTGCCACAACAGAACATTTTTCTCTGATTTAATTTAGTGACAAAAGTATAGAATTTGGTCACTGTGAAGAAGTAGTGTGCTGCCTTTCCTACATGTTAATCTAGATTTAACATGRTTTGTTCTGTCACTCGGAAAATCTAGATGTTAGAAGACTCACTGCAAACAGAAAGTGTCTTTTTTTCCCCCTATTTGAACATTTGATCAAATCTTCAGCTGTTGAAAACTGGAGTATCTTTTGGTGAAGGTTTCTGGCAGCTGAAGTGGAATGCTGCAGGACTCAACCCAYGTCTGTATAAATTACCATCGGCCTGTGGTTTATACCCTGATATGATTTGTTCAGACATGGGACTAATGGAGATATTTCCCTTGTAGCTGAAATTACTCTGTCTCTTTGAAATCACCTTTGCATTTATTTTGCATGATTTGAATGTGGTTGAGGAGAGAATGCAAAGAGACTTGAAAAAAAATGTTTGAAATAATATTATGGGATAGTTGCTCTGTCATCTTAAAAAGCACTGAAGTCTGTTACTGCATATGGGGCTCTGGCAAATTCTTATGCAGGTATTTTTGGTAGTGATTAAAATGCTCTGAAGAATGGGTTAATGCATGGTATTATGGAAAGCAAAATGAGAGGCCTTTAATAATCTCTTTGGTTCTCTTGAAGGTGCCTGGCAGGGTAGTTCCACACAAACCATTCCCTTACACGTCACTTGGTCCTACCACCTCCCAACTCTGTAATTACTCAGCAAGTTGCTTTGAGACATAATGCACTGTATTGCATTTTTTTTTCCTAGTTATTTCGACGTTTTTCTTCCTTGTTTCCTTTTATCCTTTCACAGTTTGCAAACGATTATGAGCTATAATAATAAACTAGACACATGTTGCGTCATATACAATTTCCTCTAGCCCTAATAAATTTGTTCTTAAAGTTCGTTTTGTTCTTTAATTTCATTTTTTTTAATGGTAGTGATATGGTCTTCAAGGTGTGTGCAATTCCCTTACAGCCAGGGCTGAAGTGTAGTGCCAGGATCTTGAAGCTAATTTTAATRAGCTATTTTGCATACCAGTAGCAATTATGTGTTTGTACCTTCCACCAACCCGACTAGCGAATAGCTGCAGTGCAGCTATAGCAAAGCCATAAACAACTTGTGATTTTTCACAGATCTCTTTGTCAGTCAGGCCCTTTTCTGCACTGACTCTTAGCTCGCAGATGTAATAATGTTTTCTTGGCAGCTGTAATGCATTTTAATCTCATTTCTAATTTACCAACCATTATCATCCCTTAAGCACCTTCACAAATGCTTCTGTTTACCAGGCTAATTCTCTTGCCTGGATTATTTYTTGTATGTTGTGCATAAGCATACAGCATTTTCACAATATATTTCATATATTTCATAACAACTCATTGGTAAAGCTATGATTTTCTTATGGAAATGACAAATGGTTGGAGGGGAACTATGTTTCCTTGAAGGACCTAAAGCTTATGTGGGGCAATGTGCTCCCAAATATATAATAATGTATACCTTGAAAAACAAGTCTTTTATGTGGTGAGGAATGTTATTGCTCTTCTTTATGTTCTATTCCAGGTATGAATGTTTCAAGTATAAGAACACAGTCAATTATCCGCTGCTTTTCCTGTTAATAACATACAGTGTCGTAGTCAGCATWGTAAGTACCTTTCTCTAATACAGCATTTTCACCTGTAGGTGGTAGTTCTGCCACTGGAGGAGTCTTGTACAGGCAGTGCTGAATCTCTCACTTCCAACCAAGAAGGCTAAATTATTCTTTTGGTGTGAAAACCTGAGACATTTCTGTAAACAAGCATGCTTTCAAAACAATTTATATAGAAAAAGGAAGAAGTAGTAACGCAGGTATTGATCAGGGTTGCATGGAAAACACTTCTGAATTTGCCTTTTTACAAAACCTTAGACAAAACTAAATAGATGCCTGGGTCTCAGTTTAACTCCTCTGCAAAAAAAAAAAAAAAAAGGAGAATAATCCCATTCAAGGGACTGCAAAAGGTGCTCTGTGATATACAATCCAATGCATTGACTGGCATTTTAAAACAAGAGCCCAGASCAAGAGAGAAACCTAGTTGTTTCTMAACTTGGAAGAATTTTGTTGMTACTGTGGTAATTTTATTTTTTTCTTCAGTCAGGATGTTCCCAGACTGAATAAAATGCCTTATGTATTCTCTGTCAACCACAGATGGAAATGTTCTTTTAAAAAAATAGTTTTCAATGAAAATAATGAAAGTGATTTCAAGTCTTCTACCTTCAGAGAGCTTGACTATTCTGTCATTTATTTGTTTCTTTAAACTCATGGCATGCTAGGAGTCTTGTGGTAAATAGATAGGCACTCATGATTTTTTTCCAACAAAACACATCTTTGTGATACTCAGATTAATAATATGATAATTCTCTGCATTTATTTTATTTTTTTCAGGTTTACTTAAATTTGAAAGAGCCAATATTCCATCAGGTAAATCTTGCTCTGTTGGAGAAGCTAATCTTTCTCTTTTTATAGAAATGTTTTATAGTATTTTATAGTTGAAAAGAAAGAAGCAAGAATAGAAAGCAAACACGATTTGCTGAGTATTGTTGCCTGTCATGTTGCCATCCTGTCACTTGGTCTGAAAAAATAGGATGTGTTTAATGTATTTTGTTTTAATATTTGACCTATTTAGTCACTAGTATAATAAAAGGTAATCCCAACTGTGGTGTAGGCTCCCGTAATTGAAGATAACATATAATATAAACTAAAGTGTGAATGAGATGGAGGGAGTAATGAATTCTCATTCTCATCTGATTTATTCTGTTAGTGAAACTGTCTGCCTGTTGTGAAACTGTCCCCAAACATAACATGGCTTGAGTAACTCACCCACATTTTCTTTTGTCTCCTTTAGTATATTAACACTTTTAACAATTCTATTCTGTGTAAATACAAGCTGAATTTAAATAGAGACAGGTATTTTAGGGTTAGATAGTAAACTAGGTATTTTGGTCTTAGAGGCTCAATAATGCATCTGGTTCCTGTTCTTTTGTATTAGCATAACAATAGTAACAGGCATTCACTGCCTTTTTGGAATGGATTTGTATCACTTGCCTTTTCACAAAAGGTTAGAAATCATGCCTGCTTATCTGTTCTGTAATTTTCCCTCTTTTATAACTTTATGATTAGGGATAACTGCTGAAAAATTGCCAAGTAAAAGTGCAGAGCTCCTAGCAAGACAAAACTTTAAAGCCTTAATTTCTGAAATTGATAGTGTCATCGCGTGTCAAAAAGCTCCTGCTGGACCAGTATTAATAAAAAATTAGATGTGATTCTTCTTGATGGGTTAGTAAAGGGCTGCTGAGTAAAATTCTCTCACAGAATCAAAAATGTTTACCTCTAGATTTAGAAGAGAAACTTGCATGCTACTTGCAATCATATTATTTTGATACTTTCTTTTTTTCCCCACTACATTTTTGCTGTTTTTGGCAACGAGATGTTGGCCAGGGTTAAAATGGCAATTTCTAATGCTTTTACTGAGCTGCTCATAAGCCTGAGTTTAAATGAATTTTTTTGAAGTAACTTGGTTATCAACAACRGCAGAATTCATTACTGATGGTGGGGTATTTTATTTCATAAATCAAATATCCTTTCAATATACATTTATTATAATAAATATATCACAGCTTTGCTATAACTTGATTTGATATTTTTGTATGGATACTTTGTTAAAAATGTTAAGGTGATAGATACTATGACTTGTTTGAAAAAAGAAAAATTAAAAAAGAAAAGAAACATGAAACTCTTTCTCCCCAAACTTTAACTTTTTGCATCTGGTTTGTCTTCGATTCACAACATGAATTTCATGTTATAATTTATCCATGAGGAATCAATGTGGAAAAGATTTAGACACTTAAAAGTACTGGCCTTTTTACAGCAACTCTTTCCAAATTGATTTTTATAGAGTATATACAGTTGTGGACAAATTCCAACCGTTTGAGTACTGGACTTATTTTTTGCATAATCTTCACAACCTATGTTGTAACTTTAGAACATCTTTCTGACTGCAGTTGAGCAAGGTTGTTTTCTTAATACTTGTGCTTCATTTTGGGGTTGACCAAAAAAACTCTATATTTAAATATTTCCCAACTGAGTGGATTCTGCACACTTTATATAAACTTGAATACATGCATGCAGTCATGGGTTAACTCTTAATCTCACTCCCTAGCTATGTGGGAAAGCAATTTTAGGGCATAAAACAGCATTTGATTCCTGCAGGCATTTGTCTGTATTTGTCTCCGTTTATCAGCCATGTAGAAAAGGGAATAACTGCATGGCCAGCACTAAACTGTTCATCATTTCAGTGCATTTCTATTGCTGTCCTTTTAGGGTAAAGAATAGAAGAGTGTCCTATTATGTTCAGTAGCCACAATCCAAGCCTCATTTTTCAGTGAATAATTTCCTACTTTCCTTCCCAATTTATTCCCAGGAATTACTCACTGCCAGCAGGCCATGAAAGGGATTTAGGCTTGTTATGCTTGGTAGAGTAACAACAGGCACCATCTCTCTCTCCATACAGATATTGCAAATCTTTAATGTCTCTGTCTTTCCATTGTGGGAGGAGTGGGATGCACAATTTTTGAACAGAGGGCGACTATACTTCGGTAGTAGAAGAAAATATTGGCCTGAGAACCCACCTGTTTTGACCGAGAGTTGGCATTTTTGTCTGTTTTTTGGAATTTGAGGGTTTTGTTTTCCCCCTAGCTTTTATCAATTAAGGGCCAGTGGTAAGCAAGCATATATTACAAGCATATATTGGAACACTATTACTACCTAGAATAACACTGAACCAGCCCAGGTGCCAGTTTTTTATCTATTTCATAAACCAGCATCACTGTCCAAGGAAACAGCTATATCCTGTCGTCATTTACCTGTCCAACCCTAGAATAAAAAAATTAACTCGGTGAATTTCCTTGAGGAGCCGAACAGGTTAAAGTTCTCCCTGGGATTAGTTTTAAATGAGATTAGTTGCTCATCTCTGTTTACCACATATGTATTTGTGYTTACACAAGGGAAGGACAGGGGGAGATTTGGCTGCTGATATGGACTAGTGCATGGACAGGTAGATTTAAGACCATCCAGAAAGTAAAAGAAATGACCCTGACAGTTAAAAATTTAGACTTATGTCCTACAGGTGGTCTTCTTTCCAATATAAGATAGCTGTTAGTATAATATAAGGTATATTATATACACAATATAAGCTAGCATGGGTAGCTATTACCCGTAAATTTTGTGGGTTTTTTCATCTTGATTTAGTTGCTTACTGCATAAAATACGCTGGCTACGCACCTGCGGTGATCAAAACCTGATTCATCTAGTCGGTCAGGTTGTGTAAATGCTAAATTAGATCTAAATACCTGTTTTCTTTGCATAATCACCTGCTACAAGACTTTGAAGCAGATTTTGAACAAAAATAATTTAAAGAGTAAATTTAAATCAAGATGAAATGAAAGCTTGCTGTGGTTAGCTGCTTTTTCCACATTAGGAAATGTGGTTAAAAAGTTGCCTTTTGTCTAGTGACTACAAAAACATTGAACGTGATATCCCATGAGAAAAGAAGCAGGCTGCATAAGTAGAAAATCAGTTTAAGAACTGCAAAGAGGGTAAGGGAACAACTAATGGAAAAATGACAAACAGAGATGATGAAAAGCAGCCTCTGCCTGGGCTTTTTCCAAAAAGGGAAGCCTGTGGATGGTATCTGTGATGGCATGAGGTTGTAAGACATCACTGAGTACAGTGGAAGGTAACTGGAATACCTTGAGGACTGGAATTACAGGAACAGAGGATTGAGTGTCCACATATATTTGTTTATCACAGCACAAATATGACCAGTGAGTTTCCAGCATCAGTGGTGAAGTAAAATACAAGTAGTACTGGATTTACCAGTTACGATGACTTTGAAAAGGGGTGGAGAGGAGACAGAGAAAGGGAGAGGAGTCATCATGGAATAAAAACACCTTTCATGTGGCTAAATGAAAAATGAATGAACAGGATTATCCTCCACAGATATTTCCAAAATGTAAGTACAAAGAAGGAGTAGGATGATTTAAGACAGTATGGAAAGTATATATGGAAATATATGTGGGAACCTGAAGTTGCATATGTTATGAATAGAGAAACACTTCTGCAGGGTGCAGCCTTTTCAGACTTGTAAGATTTGGGGAAATCCCTGTAGACCCACTCAGTGTCTTGCAGCTCTCCAGAGTCCCTCAGCTACTAAGGCAATAAATAGTTGAAGGCTTGTGACTTAATACATTGTGCCTTTAGCAGAACATGTTTCTTACTTTCTAGATGTTCAGGTTGCCAGGCARTCTGTTAAAAATGACCTTTTCAGGGCATGTCTTCACCATGGAGGTCTTTATACTTGGACATTGCCCTGCTGAAAACCATGTAGAAAGCTAAGCTCTGGAGAGCTGCTCGGTACAGCAGAAACCACAGAACTGTGTATCACTTTATCCCTCTCCCTGCATTTAAATAAGACTAAAGCAGATGCAGGTTGTCCGAGTTAGCTCTGTTAGCTCTCTCCTCAGGGTGTTTGGACAATCTATAGTAACAAACAGCTATAATTTTGCAGAATTCCTAAATTCAGTGTCATGGTGAAGATTTTCCTTTATCTCTCATCGCTCAGAATTATTCCCTAGAAACCCAGGAACAACCAGAAGTCCATTTCTTTTGTTGTAAACTACAAGTACAATATCCAGCCTCAAGGATTTGAGATAACTGCTTTTTGATAGCTGGTTTCTATATTAATATATAAGGAGTGGCCAAGAACCCCAGATCTTTCAACGTGATTCAAAATGTCTGCACTTATATTTAAGGCTGATGAGTTGACATCACTAATAAAAGATGGGCAGAAACCCATGAGCATGGAGAATAGCAGAAATCATAGACTCTAGAATCTTTCTGTACTAGATGTATAGATGAATAACATGTTCTGGGCACTCTCCCTTGTGTGGAATCTCAGCCTCATCTCTGACTTGCACCATAAGTGAATTTATACAAATTATTTAACTTTAATTATTTAACTTTACGCTTTAATCTCTGAAAATGCTGCTGGTTAGTGCCCAAATGCTTGCTTTCCAGTTGTAAACTAGGAGGACATTTGTCCCATTTGGTTTTTTTTTTAAGTAGCATATTCCATTTCAATAAAATCTCGAACAGCTCCTCCACTGCAAAATCAGGGACTCAAAAGCTGAAATATCTGCAACTTTATTTGCATCTTAAGCAGCAGAGAGGGAACTGCCTAGCGATAACTAAGCATGATGAGGTGCTGCTGTTCCCTTTTGTCTCAACCTTGGTGCCAAGGTGCTTATTTGGCTTCATGTAGGAAGGCACTTTGAGGCAGAATTGCCCAAAACAAGCTTGGCTTTCCATCTGTCCCTGAAATGATGTGTTTAGGTAAAGCAGAAGAACAAAGGCAGCCAAAGGAATCAAGAAATTCAGGACTTGAATAAGGTGGGGCTTTTGATTTATGCTTCCTTGGGTGCAAAGATAGGACCTGATGGGTTTGTTGCGTAGAACAGTAAATCCATAGATGGGAGAGGAATAGAAACAAGCCCTTTTCCCTAAGGAACCAGCCAAGCTACATCACTCTTCTCCTAGGCCTCTAGTGAGAAATGTTTGTAGCAAGACACTGTGACATGCCGAGACTGTACAACACCTGCTTGGTGTTTTCACCCAGTGTGACGAGGAGGATGCAGAGACGATGYGTTTGTTGTCACAGGCTTTTAAACACAAATGTGTTTTACTGCTAACAACCGCTTTGTGTAGGAAGYGGAAAAGGCAAGAAATTGAAGTGTCAACTGTGAGTATGTTTTTCTTCTGACACTGCAAGGCTTGTTTCATTTTTTTTTCCTCCCTCCAACAAGACTTCTGTGAGCTGCTAGCGGCTCCACAAGAAAGCTTTCCTTTGGCTTTTGCCCTTCCACACTTTCAGCAGCTGCTGAAAAAAAATAGCATTTTTACCCATGTTTTGTGGGGGCTTTGGGCTGGCTATAAGACATGTTTGCCTAGATGCTCTTACCACTATTTTCACTGTTCATACAAAGAGTTGGAGAGCAAGTTGCATGATAAAGGCTCAGAGATGCTTGTGCTGTTACCCCATGCAATAGAAATCGATTGCTTTGTGGGTAGATTTTTCTGTGCCAGTGCAGCAGACTGTAACAATCAAAACTGTAGGAAGGGGGACAGCAGTAAGGAAATGGAGTAGAACTGCCTCCTGGGTTCCATTTTATGAGTTTCTTCCTCAGTGCCTTCCCTCTCTTGGAATAAATTACTGGAGTTGTTTAGGAAAGCAAAATAGGCTCTTCCAAATGAGATGCACAGTGTTGTTGGCTTCTAAAGTTAGTTTGTGTTCAGCATATAGTGGGATCTTTCCAACTTCAGCTTGGGACTGATAATCGTTTGATACTCGGGCTGTGTCTAGCAGGACTTTCTTTGGTTGGGTGCCATAACCCAGAAGAGGGATGGAAATTAGTTGACTTTGCATAAGGTTTGGTCCTGAACCAATTAGCTTTTCAAGCAATTTGGTTTTGGGGCAGAGCACAGGAGTAGTTGAGTTCCTGGAGTTATCTGATCTCGCTCTGAATGCAAATGTAGGACTGTTTCTGCTGGATGACTTTACATAGTCAATACTGGAGCTTCGTCTTACCTGGTGGGTAGGAATTGGGACTGCACTGTGTGTTCTGTATATATATACATTGCTAATATGGTGTGTGCTACTAACCTTGTCTCTGAAATTTGTATGAACTTGGAATTTGCATGTATGTATTTTTAAAAGGTAGATTTTATTTCACATTGATACGCCAGTCTGTTGTATTGAATGGCCAAACGTAGGGGTGTTTTTGCAGTATAGTCATAGCCAAGTGCCCTAGTTAAGGTAAGGACTAGTCCTTGCCTTGAACTCTAAAAGAACAAAAGGGATGAAGAAGTCATCAGACATGTTAAAAATGCTCATTTGTAAATATGCTATTTCTGTGAGGCTTAGGGATTTTTAAGCAAAAGTTTCTCATTTTATTTCATGCAAAGCAAGGGAGAGTTAGATGAGAATTAAAACAAAAGTGAGAAAGGAAGCTCAGTGGATGGAGAAGCAAAGACTAGAGAGGAGCTGTACTTCTTCCATCTAGTTTGTTTGTCTTGGGAAAGTTATTATATGGATCTTAAGTTTCTGAATAAAGAAAGACAGGGAGATTGAAAGATCTCAAGACAAATGAGAAATGATCACTTTGACATTTTATACAGTCAAGTCATTACATTAAACTCCATTAAATGCCTGCATTAAGCCAGGTTTTGATTGTGTCCTCTTTTTYAGAAAATACAACTTTCTCACTTTATCATTAGAGTCCTAATAGCCTGTAATACTTTATTTTAAACTATTGTTTAATGTTCGTGTTCAGTGTGAGCATACTGCAGAKTCTGTTCAAGTTTTAGCCGTCAGTAAAGATAATGAATCTGAAATATCAATGAAGGAACTATGATTTTAATGCAAAAGAGATGATATGAGTGGCTTACCGTTTTGACTTCAGGATGTTTGCTGAGTGCCACCTAGTGTTGGCTTTCTAAATCAGAGAAGTAAAACAGCAGTTTTACACAACTGAGTTTTCTTTCACTTTATATGAAGAGCATGGATGTCATCATATTTTTATTGGAAACTTTTTCAGGAAGACTTTGTTAGAGAGACATTTGGGGGGAACTATTTTCTTTCTTGAGACTAATAAAAATCAGCAGAGATACCAGGAATTTCTACTTCTCTAGTATTCTGTGTATGTATTCCTTATGAGTATGTATTTTGTAGTGTTCCTTGAATGCCACTGTTGAATTCTGTGTCTGTTTTTATTTCCAGATCATGTATGGAACCTTAGTCTCCATTATAGTACTACGATCTGTATATATAGTGTTATGGTAAGTAGCCATTTGATTCTTCATTATTCTTTGGGCTAAAACTTAGTAATTGCACCTATATTTCTATGAGCTTGACTTGAAAAATAGGCATTGCTAGACTTTCTGGGATCAGGTATGTGATGCCAGCTCCAGTGCACCCGTCAGTTTGAAAGGGAATGTTTCACCTCTTTGTATTTTCTGGGAAGTGTATTGATGCTTAGGGTTTAAATGATTCCTGCTCTCCGAGCAACTGGCTTTCTCATGAATATGGAGATCGCCTCTGAAAATTATTGATTTTTCTATACCACATCTTTAAACTAAATGTGTTTTATATTAAGCATATGACTGTTCAGGAACACAAGGGAAAAATTAACAAACTGTGACTTTAAAACAGACTCACTGAATCAACTTGCAAGTGTGCTTTTAGTTCCTTTGATTTCACTTTTCCTAAGAAAACTTCACAGACCAAGCATAAATGTTCACAGACTTTAAGTAAATAAATAAAATATGTGTGTTTTCCTTTTGCTGTTGGAACAATTACCAGTTTAAAGTCACTTTTTGAACCTATTCAAATTCTAATCCTAACCTAGAAATCTCAACTGATACTGCCTCTATTCACTTAGAGAATAAACTAAGTCGAATCAAGTTCCAGTCACTTTAATTTTGTGTTTGCACAATGCTTTAGTACAGGTCTAGCAATTCAGTGTGAATTTTATGCATGTCTGATTTAGACAACCCTTTAGGGCAGCTATCTTTCCACTTTTGCAAATTCCACACATTCGTATATGATCATTATTCCTGAAGGATTATTCCTTTTGCTGTTTTCTATCACTATCAATAACATAACCATCCTCTCTCCCAGAGTTTCCCGTTAGGTTTGCTTCAGCAAAGTCTGTCTTTGATGTTGCACCTATTTTATTTCCCCTTTGATTGCAGTTTTTCTGGAATATATTTTCTTCATAAGCCACATCATTACAGCGAGGCCCTACAAGCTTCTCCCTTCAGTTGTGCTGATGCAAACCATGGTCATAAGGTTGAGATGGGGAAGGAATTTTAAAGTAATTCTACTGCTAAAGAAGCAATGTCAGCCCAACAGTGCCTTTTTGCTTCTCTGCAAGTCAGCCCTACTTCCATTTTGAGATTTACTTCCTTCACCTTGCTAAGATGTATTTTTGTCTCCCAGTTTGTCATGCTAACACTTCTCCAAGCCTGTATTAACTTACATATTTATACTTCTTTTCAATCTTATTTCCTTAATATATGTTATTAGTTTCCTATCACTCATATTGCATAATGTAGGGCTGGAAGTCAGTCCAAGCTCAGCATGAAAATCTTGAAATTCACGATTCTTTGCAGCAAGACCTCTAGCTCCTTTTGTTCTCATCGTTTGCAGTGTATTTCTGCCTGTTTTTCCCTATTTTTCATCTGTTTCTTGGGTTTCTGTGCTTCCTTCTCAAGATCATACCTAGGCGCATGTTGTCCTTTGTTCACAAACTGTTTTCTCTTATATCTCATGCCAACCTTTCACTCCTCCACAAAACAACTCCATTTATTCCTTGAACAATTGCAGCTATAGTCACCTAATTACCAGCATGTACAACGTACCATTTAATACTTTTTCATGTCCTGGGTTTGCTTGCATGTCTAGAACACACGTTCTGAGTTGGAAGTGTTCCAGTTTGGCTGCACTTGCCCAACGCGTGGCRCTCCGCACACTGATTTGACTCAACACTGATTTGACCAATTTATATTGGCAATGTTCTAGTTGTTAATGTGCACATCACAAAACCTGACTTGTTTTTGCACGTTTCTGTTGCTTGTGCTCAGATTTTCCAAGTGTGCGTGGTATATATAACATGCTGGAAAAAAAAGGCCTCAGGAATGTGCTTTAACATGAATTCTAAACTGGGTGTTCATAACACTTAAAAGTAACATCAACTGCATTTCATGGTAGCCTCTTGAGATTTTTTTGAGGGGGACTTGTCTTATTAGAAATGAGTAAATGCCACCAAAGACCATTAGGGTGTTAAAGATTCTTGACCCGTCTAGAATGCAGAAAAGAAGAGTGGGTTTATTAATGATGCACTTAAGTTAATCTTTATGTTGTAATCAAGCAATTTATGTGTATGTAGTAATATTATGTCTGCTACAAGCTGTGTCTTGAGCTTAATTTTGCTTTATTTGTCTCTCTCTCTCTCTCTCTCTCTCTCTAGGGTATACCCATGGCTTAGAGGTCTGGGCTATACATCTCTAACTGTATTCTTAATGGGATTTTTTCTCTGGAATGTGGATAACATTTTCTGTGATAAATTGAGGTGAGCACTTTCAATTTGTTGAGCTAGTTCTCAATAATCTTTCAGCACACAGTTTTGCTTTTTCAGTGGAGGATGTTCAGATCCATCTTGCGGCGTGTGTGGTACATTGCTATAGAACATTCACTTTGCTCATGACTAGATTTAGTGCTTAACAGCTGCTTTATTTGTTGATTGATTTGTTTATTTATTAGGTTGCCTGATGATATATATATATTTGAAGTGTGAAATCCCTCAATTTCCTCAAAGAAAATCTGAGGTGTAACGGAAACTAGGGTAACTTAGTGCCAAATTGCAACAAGTTTTCTCCAGTTCAGCTGGTTTAACAATGTTGATTTTTCATAATATTTCACTTCAATACGATTCTGAAGTGCTGAAGTGCTCGAACAGCACTTACTGACTGAGAAGAGTTTTTATGTCACCCCTACAATGGAACCCAGCGTAACTAGGGCGGCCTCTTTTCAGTGGTGGCCAGCAATGGGACTAGAGGAAACGGCCACAAGCCGAGGCACCAGAAGTTCCACAGGAACTTAAGGAAACATTTCTTGACAGTGAGGGTGCCAGAGCCCTGGAACAGGCTGCCCAGGGAGGTTGTGGAGTCTCCTCCTTTGGAGATGTTTAAAACCCSCTTGGACGCAGCCCTGTGCCMCGTGCTCTRRGTGACCCTGCGTGAGCAGGGGGGTTGGACTAGATGACCTCTGAGGTCCCTTCCAACCTTAAGCATTCTGTGATTCTATGATTCTATGAACTTGTAGCTTGTGTGCCCTTAAACTGCTTCTCTCTGGCTCTGGATATGCGCTCAGCTGTGTTCTGACTGTGTGTTGGAATGACATCTGAGTGCATTGCCTCCAAGATCTGCATAGTTTGCCTTCTGAAAGGCATAGACAGGGAAGCTGTCATATGCTCCAGTGGGGTTCTACAGGCTGGATAACTAGGGAACAAAGTGCAGGGCRACTCAGAGAGTTGTAGTCCCTAGATACTTGTTGCTTAGCCACTGATAGAGAAGAGTTGTTCTATCATAGCTTTGTTTCTGATTATTTCTGAATCAGAACTCATTTTTTTCATATTGATGAACAGAATTTTTGTAGCTGATATTTCTCTTCAACTTGTATTGAATCAAGGATCTGTGGCATGCTGCAGTCTGCTGGTCACACTTGATTTCATCCAAACAAGTTTTTTATCCTGCTTTGCTTTGCTTTCTGCTTTTGTTTTTTTCCCTAGGAAAACATTAAAGGCAGCAGTTTTGTGGATTAAATAAATATCTAATGCAATACATTAGTCACCAATAGACAGCAACTGCTTAAATGTCTCAGAATAAGCAGCAGTTCCATGAGCCATTTCATTGCCCTTGTCTGCCATGCCAAGAAGAAGTCCCATCTGACTCTCATCTTCTGTTCCCCGTCGACATACACTGTTACACAYTTCAACTTGTGGGGTACAGAGTGGTCCTAGTAGGTTAGTGTGGCCTTAGATCAGAGTGTGTGGTAAGGAAGGAGTCTAATGTGTCCCATCTRTCCCTTTTGGCTCTGTAAACCTTGCACCCACTAACTGGGGTGTTATCCCAGTTGGAACTTCATTGCAGCCGAGTTGTCTTGAAACTTTCAAAAATGAGTATTGCACACAGTGCTTCAGCCCTGAAAAAACACTTGATATAACTGGCATGAAGTTGTTTGCCAACACAAGTGGGTGGGTTTACAGTGACTTTGCAAACTGTGGCGTTAGGGTTGATTTTTACAGCTGCATCAGAGCAGTGGTGAGATCATAACTCCCAGCTCATAGAGCTACTGGAGGTCCTTGGGGCTTTAGAAGTTGCTCCTGGACTCAGAGATTACACCAGCTGCTGAAACACTGTTTTCCATCCTTGTTCTGTAAAGGGAAAACATGTCAGTATAATTCCTATTATGCTTATTTAGTTCTGGTGCCGGGGAAAAGCAGCTTGTTTACTAGAATTAGTCAGATGTCTGCAGAGCCTTTGAATTTCTCAAAGTGGTGTTATAACTGGAACCTTCGGAGAGAATAAATTCCAGTTCCTTTAATTCTTTTTTTTTATTCTCTGAAGATGTAACTTGTGAATCATCCACCCACCTGCTCTTTTTGTTTTTAATATTCAAAAATGTATTTGGATTCTGTTTATGTTTTTCCATGTTTTATAAAGTCTGGAGCTGTTTGTTTTGTTTTGTTTTTTTAAAGTGATACCTCTGTAGCACTCGGCTTCCCTGGGTGGATTCATGAGCTTTTGAATCTTGACCTTTGAGTTTTTGTGCCATCAAAATGCCACCAGGCTGTTCCAGGAGTGACAGTTCTGATGTTCCACTATGTCATTCTTGGATAACTGAATCCTGGCTCTGGGTCCTTCTCTGTGACTGTGAAGCTCCAGAAACTCAGTAGCAGCCCGGGGATCAGCACTTAGTTATGAGCACTAGAACATCACACACTAAACAAGTATTACAGTAGCCACATATTTTTCTTCCTTGAAATCTTCAGTCATTGCTATTTTCCCTTTCTCTTTTGACTTGATTATATGTGAATTGTATCTCAAAAGACAGTCACGTGTGAACATGTATTCCACCATCAAATTCCACCATCAACCAAAATCAGCATTATTATCAGCAGAAACGTGTAGCAAGCAGGAGCAATTCAGCTCCTTCCCTTTCTTTTTCCATCTCTATCTTTTAGCCTCTTGAGCAGTTTGTTCTCCATAATAATTCAAAGATTAAGCGTGTTGGCAAAGCCACTCTTCACCTTCTGTTCCTTTCTATACACCCATTTTGTCCCTGTGTAGTGTACAATAAAGGCAAGCAAAGCTTCCAGGGAGCTGGAGAGTAGGTGATATGATTGTCAAAAATAAAGCAGTGATGTCTTACAGATAGGGAATCGGTAACACGTGATCTGACAATTAAACAGTGCTATTTGAGATTGCCGAGCTTTGAAAACACACATTGTGGCATTTCTTTCTGCAGGGCACTACGAGAGAAGATGCCTCCTGTTGTGGGAGCTGTGACACAGTTTCATGCTTGGTGGCATATACTTACAGGCCTGGGCTCTTACCTGCATATCCTTCTGAGGTAGGAAATTTCTTTCTTTTTTGAAGGAGGTAGAGATTTCTGTCTTTTTTATTATTTTTAGAGAATTTTTAGACTATTTACGTATTCTTCAAGATGTAATCAGTCTTTAAATAGTCATGGTTCGTCAGGACAATGCAATTTGTAAGCAGGAACCTTGCAGTAATTACACAGAAAATGTATTTGTCAGTAGGTTGGTTTCAAAATATATGCTGTTAAAACCTTTCTCTTGTGCAGCAATGCTCAAACACTTAGACTTGTTTAACTTAAGAAGTATTAGCTAATCTTTTTGATATGAGCTGTCACTCCTGAAAATTCACAGGTTTTACACTATCAAGCAGGAAAGTGATGGGTGAAGTGATAGAAACTGAGGTGGTTTACCCAGAAACAGACAATAGCAGTTTTAGAAATTAGCACGCTGTGGCTCTGTTTTTGGTGTATACCACCATCTACTGGCATGAGACCTGAAACTGGAATTCACYGTGAAAACTGAAGGATTTCTATAGTTTATCCATTACGTAATGAAAGCTCTTCTAACACTTAACTAGAACTATAAAATAAAGCCTATTTAAGAGATGTATTTTGAGTAGCCAAGAAAATTTGATCACATACTAGTTTTTCTACATCAAAAAACAAGTTTATAAACTGATTAGTAAAAGGAAAATGAAAGGAAAATAAGTAAAGTTTCAGCAGCTGCTCTGATAGTGGGTATTTGGGTATTTGATTTTTTTTTTTGTTTTCCTGACATCTGATTGCTCAGAGAGCAATCCTACTTCATTTTGTGGTACAGTAATGTACTTTCATCCTTCCAAAATAGCAAAGTTTAGTCCCTATCTAGTCCCAGATTCACTTGTTGGGGTTTTTCTCTTCTAAGGGCGGGGTAAATTCATCTGCTCTTCATAGTCTAGAACTGATTTGCTGTAGGCTTATATGTTGTAGGCTGAATGGATATCCCTGCAATCAGAGGCTTTTTTTTTTTCTAGTTGGAGTATTAAACTGGAATTAGTAGCACATCATTATTAGTTATATGTTTTGTGATATGTTGAATCTGAAGCATACTTTTTCTCTCTTAGTTTATACACGAGGACACTTTTTCTGAAACACAGGCCAAAGGTGAAGGTAAGCAACCAATTTTTTTGTGTCCATTGATGCACTGTAGCTTTCGTCTTGTGTTTGAACATGCATTGGGGCCCGGTGGTTGTCCTTGTTAGGGTTCTGCCTTTGATTTCTACACTGATCCCAAGAAATATGTTTGAAATGAAGYTAATGGTATTTGATTTTTGTTCCAAGAGGCATAGCATTACAAGTAATCATTCCCCTTTCCCTATTTCTCTTTTAACAGTTTATTTTTGGAATATGGCCTGTTCTTCTGGTGGAGCCACCCAAGAAACTTTGACGGAGATCGAGGCAGTTGCATTCTCAACCACATAACCCCGGCTGAAATGAAGAGATTCAACAGTTGCTACAGCTGAAGTGTCAAAATTATGGATGAATTCAAGTACCACTGCTATAAAAGGACTTCTCTCCGTTACTTGGCCTCCCAGCCAGACCAGAGTGAAGAGTTGACACGTTAAGGAAATAACATTGAGTGTGGTTTTATTCTAAGTTGTTAAAAAAAAAAAAAAAAAAAAAAAAGATTAAGACACAATATTTTTATGTATATATTGTATAGCTGATGATACTAAGCTAATATTTCGTGCTGGTCACAGAAGACTAACCATTTTATGAAGTGGATTGCATACATTTTTCATTCGATTGTTGCTCTTTCTGTGGTTTAAGCTAGTATTAGTAACTGAATGATAAAAATGGGTTGTTGATGGCCAAGCTAAGCRTATAGTGAACTGAATGCTTAACCTGAACTACTTAAACTTGCACTTTTATACAGTTAATGAAGTATATACTGATTTAGGGCTTTATTCTATTTTGCTTCTTCATTTGCAATTTATATTTTAAGCAAAAAGTTTGGAATACATAGTGCCATTTATTTTATTTTGCACCAGGCTTCCATTCTCAGAATAGTTCAACTGAGTTAAATGGTGGAGGATGTTCCAGGGTATGATCAGGAGAAGATACTTAAGATGGAGAATGGTATAAAGGTTCTTGTTCAGTGTGTGGAACATGAATTCCTAATTTTTGAGTAGTTGATCTGTCAGGAGACTGCAGAGTCCTTTGGGTGACTGTATAAACACAACACTTCTGTTTCTTATAATTAATATTTCCATTCTCTCTCCCCATATCCCATTTCTACCACAGATTTACAGCCACTTCAGAATATGCTAGTGCAGCTTTGAACTCATGTCTTTCCCTTATTTTGCAAGTCCTAAAATACCAATCTGACTTCCCAGAGCATTAGCTTATTTGGAAATAATGAACAGAGACAAAAAAACAAGACTTACATTTTGAGGTGTCCTYAATATAATTGGCAGCTCTTTCATTCTTAATCGTTACATGACATAGTTACTCTATGGAAAGTTTGAGATTACTCTTCATGATGATCACTTCTAAAACTTTTAGGTTTTCACTGAGGATAATCCCTCAGGTTTTGCATATTTCTTTTTTTTTTTTTTTTTTAACCCATCCAGTCAAAGTTAATAACTAAGCATAAAGAAAACACTGAACTAGCAGTTTTTCAAAATACACCTCATACTGGAGGCCATGGTTTTTATTCTCCAGACTTTGGGATGACTATTGGAGCCAGTCTCTGGGCCTCCTAGCTGCTGTGCTATGCAATTTTCATCAGCTTTTGATGCTCTGAGGGGTTTAACCTTCTTGACATAAAGGGAAGTGCRAGAGAAATGCTCAGACTATAGGAGAAATTCCATTCTTTATTAATTTAAAATCCAACAGTAGCAAGGCACAGCAATCTAGCTATAAAGCTGTTCCCCACATCACAAAGTCAAGACTAGCATAAGCTTCCTTGCTTTGACAGCCAAAGAAGTCAGATTGAAATCTGTATTGTAGAATCAGTTTTAATTAAAACTCTCTCTTCAGTGTGTTTGTTTTTGCTTGGAGCTTAACTGCACCTTCCATGGACATCAGTATCACCCCTGTTGGTACAAAACTCCATGTAAAATGGTGAGTCTTGGTCATGATAGCTGACCCAGGACTCTTGGGGTTGAGTTAGATCTGAACAAAACTAGAAAAAGATGCTTAATTCTCAGTGGTTCATGAAGTTTAAGCATGCACTGAGAGCAGAGCATTTCAACCTATAAAGCACAAACCACTGTAAGGGTCTCTGAATGCTAAAGTTAAAAGAAATCTATGGCCAGGAGGCTTCAGTTCTGTAGACAAGGTCTGCATCTGCACAGGCCAATTTGGGGGATCTTAGACAGAACGAGGTTGAAGCAACTATCACAGTGGTAAGAAAATGCTGTCTTGGATCAGGTGCCTTTAATTAGCCAGAAGGAGTACTTTTGGTGAAGAGATTTGAGAATTATTTTTAAGATGTAGCTTAAAAAAGTGCCTGCCCTTTCACCTCCATGCTTTCCCAAGCATGCTGTTACTGCTGCATTCAGTTTGATTTTTTTTCTTATTTAGTGTGTTTACATGCTTCAGATATCAACAGACACATCAACAGATGACACCTGCCTAGCATTTTTTTATACTTTTTTTTTTCCAATTTTTTTTAATTTTTATTTTAGATTTTTGTTAGGGTTTTTCTTTTTTTTTTTTTTTTTCTTCTTGTTTTTATGAACAAAGCCTGTATCTTAGTGGCCTTTATTTTGTTACTGGAGCATTTGGGGGATCTGTTTGACTTGCCTGTAGTTGCAGTAACTGTGGTGTACTAAGAGGTCGCTTTCTTTGGGACAAGGATACCCTGCAACACTGTATTTTAAAGAAATATATTGATTGTCCTACCCACTTGCAACAAGGAGGTGTATGTTTCTTTTTAGATCCTGTTGAATTAAATCATCAGTTTTGGTGGGGGGAAATTTGATTTGTATTTTTTTACAAAACTTGGAAAAGTTCTTGTATTGATATTATGCTGCTGTTAGCTTTTCATTCATTTTGCCTGGTTTTTATCTTAAAGAAAAAAAATTGCAATTGGCATCTTCCTTTCTTTTAAATGACTGAAGCATCCACACCTCTGCTGCCCTTCCAGTAGTGTTTTATCAAGTCCTGTTTATTCCTGAAGAATGTAATTTAGAGGTTTATCCTTCTGAGCATAAATAATCTAATGATGGGTTTTTGTTTCTTCTGCCTTAGTGATCTTATAAGTGATATTGAAAGTGTGGCAAGTCAATTTTAACTTCATGTGACTGAATTTCAGACTATCTTTTCTAGTGCCTGGAAGGATATGACTCCTTTCCACTGTATTTTGTTAGATGTCTGTTACATTGTGCTTTATTTATGTCACTTGTATGAGGTGCTGTTTTTTCTAAGATCCTTGGAGCAGCATATCCCAAACTTGTCATGTACCACATCTTTCAAGGTGGGTCRTCGCTGAGCCTGTCTTTTGAGTGGGATTCAGACAACAGCTACTTAAAAAGAAGCAACAAGTTCTCTTAACACGAATCTTATTGTGTGTGTTGAACAGACTTAATCTCAGCAGCAAATTCATCTCTTCCTTGCCATACGTGAAGAACCAGGACATCAGTCACTCTGTGACCCTCAACTTGGCACAGATCAGCAACAAGTAGTTCTGCAGGCCATGATTAAAAGATTCTTCCTTGGAAATGGTATAAAATTTACATAAGGACTCTCCCAGTGCAGATCAACACCACACTTTACTCCAAGAATCAGTCTTCTGCATAGAGCTCAAGACATGAGTTATCAAGTGAAGATAAGACACAACAAATCTGCCATCAGGAGAAATCTCATATGTGCTTTAAAGGCAGTGTTAGATGTTGGCTAGCAGTATTAGTCATCTCTGGACCTCATTTTGATGCTCTTTCCTTTCAGCACAAGGGAGATGTACTACCAGTGAGCGTTCAGAAGACTACCCAAAAGGCAAGGTTGGAATATGCAGCCTGTCACTTGCCAGTCTACCTCTCATCTGTTGCACAAAACCTGTGCCCTTAAATGCTCCTGCCTGTGAAGGGCAGACCTTGGAGCAGCCTAACCTAGCACATCCGACCCCTGCAACAGAATTGTRCTGATCTGCAGCGGATTCTGCTTGTTCTCTATAAATGTGTTGCCTTGTTCAGTGTCTCTCCGACTTCTAGGTCGCTCTTGCTCCGTTTTCATCTGCACTCAGAATTACAACTGCTGCAGAAAGACATGAGCAGGAGGATTTTAATTTGGGACTGATAACGTCTTTTTGGCAATACATTGTGAATAACGCTAAGATACAAACACTATACAGCTTTTATGGCAGGGGAAGAGCTATGATGGAAAATATTGTTCCATAATTAATTTTAATTCTCTTTCGTCCTAATCTTGTGCTGTGTTCATTCCCAGGTCTGTTGTGTTTGGCTAAAAGGAAGTTGTATGATTTGAAACACGGTTGATTCTTTGGGCTTTGGCACATGCGCTTCCAACACCAGGTTTCTAACAGTTAAGTGAGTTTTTCAGCCAGCTGTCTCATGTGAAACTCTTAGAAACAAAATCTTCCTGTAGTCACTAACGTTTCTCACAGTTAGTGCCACCTTGTTCAATTTGGCATTGAACAGTTTTGGTAGCACASCTTTTACATGTGTTTCCTTGTATTCTCGGCCTTTGGTGGCAGGTGATTAAGTGATTTAGTAAAATACTGCTTTTTGGAAGACAAGCTGCAATGAAGCAGGATAGCCCTTGTCTTCAGTGGACCCGTGAATCCAGAAAAATAACTTCATTTTGATGGTCTGTGTGCCCTGTCATTTTAATGAACATATTTAGGCAAAACATTTGGTTTACTTGAGGAAAAAACCTGTCTTTCCCTCTGCACTTTACAGCAGGTAGTGGGAGGCATTCAATGTGAAGTGCTATTTAACTGTGGGACTTCTTTATGAACAAGGATAAACAACAGCATCTTTATTACCCATRAGAAGCGAAAGCCAGAAGGAGATTAAGAAATTTTGCATGGAAAGGGAATAACAAGAGATTAAGCACAGAATCCCCTCAAATTACGTCAGCCACCCCCTGATAACCACATTTTAGGTGCTTGTGCAACAAGCTTGAATGTTCTGCTCTTTATACATGTTAGATCTGATCTCCTTGCCATAGAGGTCCTGTGGACAGTATATCACGTTTGGTTCATTGTAGGTTATTCACCATGACAGGGGTTGTTGGGTGCGTGGAGGAAAATGTTTCTTGCACATCTGGAGAGTTCTCCGCTAGCTTTGAGCATCCATAATGTAGCTACAGAGAATATATAGTGCAGTGTTTTTCCAAGAGTGGAGGCTGTGTTTTCCCTTGGGACCCACAGGCATGGTCCTTTCAGTTGCTACCTTGCTTTGTTGCTTTTTTTTTTGTTAAAAATTCTCCTGTCACAAGAGTTGCAGCGCTCGGCTCAGTTATATTTCTGACTGTCTGCTCGGCTCAGGGCATGTACGTGGCTTCCCCCTGTCCCAGGTGATGCTGCATCCTTTCAGATCTGGAAAGCCGGATGAGGGATTTAAGCCTCACAGCTGCTGTTTATTCTAGTGGGTAGAGTTGGAGAGCAGCAGCCTAAGGGCAGAGCAGTCAGCAGGGCACTTTGTGCAGCTTATGCATAA